CGAATGTTTGCCATCCCATGTAATTTTCCCTTTATGATATCGTATTATATTATTTTAACTAATATAGTGTTTGGAAGGATTAATTCTTATTCGTTATTACATAATTCACACATTTATAATTTGAAAAAATACGATATGAAATAGAGTTACAATAAGAATGTAAAATGAAAGATGAAATATAATTATTAAATAATATAATAAATTTAAAATAATATTAAAAAAAAATATTAAGATGTTGAGGATATCATATCAAATCGATCATTACTAACCTTCCAAACAAGGTGTCAATCAGTCACCTCTTTGCCAAAAATGATCAGAATTTATTTTTCAGAAAAATCTATTTCAATGTACCAAACATGCCCTTAGCTGTTCTTTTCACTATAAGCCGCCTCTCCTTCTCAATTTTGCCGGTTAGCCTTATCCTAGCTCAATTCGTTTTCCTTTCGCACCTCGAATCCATCGCCGTCAAATCACAGCTTCTTCTTCGCCGGCGGCGGCTATGGCGTGTGTGCCTAATTCATCGATGACTCTTCTCTTCGTCGAAATGGGCGTCGGCTACGATCAACACGGTCAAGACGTAACCTCAGCTGCTATGCGAGCCTGTAAAAGTGCAATTTCATCCAATTCAATACCAGCGTTTAGAAGAGGATCTATACCTGGAGTTTCATTCGAGCAGATGAAATTGCAAATCAAATTAGGTGTTCCTCGGCCTCTACATCACACTCTAGATCTGGAGAAAGTGAAATCAGTGTTTCCTTATGGAAGAATCTCGAATGTTGAGGTCGTTGATGGCGGATTGATATGCTCCAGTGGTGTTCAAGTTGAAGAAATGGGAGATAAAAATGACGATTGTTACATCGTCAACGCTGCTGTCTATGTTGGTTACTGATCCATTTTCCAGATTATTCGAATAGTTGAACTGATAATTTCGTTCAAAATTAACGAAAGTTTACATTTTATAGCAATTTTATTCGATTAATGTATGTCTTTGATTTTAGATTATGTTATGGAGTTTGAGTTCGAATTTGAATTCTCATTATTGTTTACCAGTTTGAAGTCATTCGATTATCGAATGAGCTTGTAGTGAGATGGAAAAATCGAAAGATTAATACTCATGATTCGAAAGCATGAATATGAAAACCTATATTTGTGATTGCTTGTATAACGAAACCTAGATTTAAATCAATAATTGAATACTCTAATATTAATTTGAGAGTTTTAGAATCGTAAAGATCAAAATGATTACAATTGTTTCTCATACTATCGTGTTAATTAATTAATAATACTGAAGCTTAATTGATTAATCAAATTTTTGACTAGTTTGTTGTGGCTTTTATAAATTGTCCTTTTAAATACACTACTAAATTAAATTCAATGATTGTCAATATATTGATTTGCTATAAACAATATCAGTCACTTTATTAAATTATTTTCACCTCCTTTATGAAGAAATTTGGCAAGGTGCATGCATTAAGATCGATGCATAGAAGAGAAAATTTATTAGTATCGAATATTTATATTAATGTGTCATAGTTAAATAATATATAAACCTTTAAAATTAGTATGGTTAAATGATTAACTAAACACATACAGAAACATCTAAATTAATTGTATAATAATTCAATTCTCAATGGAGAAAAAAAAAATCTTAACTGATTTTTCTTATTTGTTCTAATCTTGATAAATAAAGTTACTTGATGTCTATTGTTATTGAGAGTAACAGATGTGAAATTTATCAAAATGCACAAAACCTGATCCTGACACAACGATTATTAAAAAAAATAAAAATCTACTTACATACTAAACAGTTATAATATTCAATATTTCACTAAATTGACGTTATTTGGTATTCCATTTCTCCAAGCAACTAGCATTAAAATAGGGTCTATGTTCATTAGAGTAAGCTTTAATTTTGGGTCTACAAAATTGATTGGTGATGAATAATTGAAAGTTGTTTGTGGACTATATAAGAGATTGGTTAAGTCACGTAACGACATATAACAATATGAATAGACTTTAATAAATATCATAGTTGAGGTCCGGGCCTATTCTCGCGGGCACGGATATATTGTTTACGATATGATATTCGATAAAAGTTAATAAAATTTAATTTAAAAGTATTACATTTATATATACGCATAATATATAAACATGACCTTTAATTTGACATTATTTGACAACTATGACCTTTAACTTTAGATGTGCACAAGTAGACACTTAATTCGTATAATATTGAACAAAAATCAACACATTCGTCCTACATGACACCCTACATGGAAAAGTTGTGTCCTACATGTATCATTTCATGTAGGATATATATGTCAATTTGTTCAATTTTATACAAGTTATAAGTGTCTACTTGTGCACATCAAAAAAATAAGAATCATAGTTGCCAACTAACGTCAAATTAGGGAAATAGGTATATGTCTTATGTATATAAATCATAAATTTAGAATACTGTAAATTTAAAAAGCAAGATTTTGGTAGCGCATGCTTGATGGTTAGTAGAATTATTAAGGCAAGGCTTACTTCACTTGTTCTTGGGAATAAGTTCACGCTTTTCTTGTTATCGTAAATATCGCAATTAGATCAACTTTTTATGTAATAGAAAAGGAGTTATTGATGTAAATGTAATTGTAATCATAAATATCTATCGTATCGTGATGATTGTGATTGAATCAAATAGTTTCGAAAAAGTTAAAAACTTTGAAACAACAAAAGCCATTCAATATCCCATCAAAGGTATGGTTACATTGTCAAAAGCACGTGTAGCAACTAGCAAGTACAAAAACATATAAATGTGATGGGTTAAATGTCAAAATTGTTGACCTAAAAATCTTGTACACACATTAAGACACCTTCCCACTAGTTATTCTAGTGCTTCTTGCATCTACTTAGAGATTTATACATATATTTTTTTTAATTATCGCAATATTCGAATCAATTTTCATTCACTTTAATTAATTTTGTGCTTTTATATGTTGATAATATTGATTGTAATTATTTTTTAAATGATCTGATAAAGTAAATATAATTTTTGTATAGGCCCTATAGAATATGGAAGTGCTCTTTAGAAGGAAGACCACATTCATTAAAACGAGTTTAATTACTGGTGGTGGGCCCAATAAAGAAAATTGAAAACAGTAATTTTGAATTGAGAAGAGGGTTGTTGACACTTTAATAATCATTTTCGAGATATAAATATAAATTTTTATAATTAATATTATTGGAAATAACCTTTTCTTTTGTGAGTGAATAATTATGGTTATTATTATACCATAATATTTCACAAATTATTATCGCTATCCTTAAAAAAACTTATATTTTACTATATATAAATTCAATACTAAAAGAGAAAATTAAGAAGTAAACTCTATATCGAAAGATAAAAGTACCATTTTTTTCCTTGAAAAAGTCAATTCAAACATTAAATAAATACTCATAGGAAGTATTTACTTTCTTCGTCTCAATTGATCTGTTCAACATAAATTTTAAAAGAAAATAATCGAATTTATTAATTCAGTTATAAAATTAACTTATTAAAAGTAAAATATAAAATTTAAAATTATATTACTTTTTAATTGGACTTAATTTTAAAAAAATTACATTATATAAATGGAAACAAACCGATTATTTTTATTAAAAAAAATAATAAGGAATGGTAATGGGTGGATTAAATGGACTTAATTGGCAATGAACGACTTTTACACAGTGTTCACATTTTTTGTCACACTCTTTATATATATAACAGAATTACCCAATTTCAAATAAACAAAGCAAATAGAGAGATTTTGAGGAGAAAAAAGAGGAGAGAAACCACAATTTCTCCATTAATGGCTTTGTTTAATTTCTGGGGCTGTTTCTCTGAATCTTCAGAATCAAGCCGATTTGTCTGCAATGGCGACGTTTGTGTTCTTCGCGATCACAACAAAGTCATTGATCAAAAGAAGAAGAAGAAGATAAGCTTGAGGTTCCCTTTTTCTCCGCGTAAATCGTGAAAAAAAACGAACTAGTGATGAGTTACTTTCAAATCGAGATAGATCAATTGTTTTTTTCATGTGAATAATGGCTCTGTTTCTGATCTTATACAACAAGTTTTCTGGGCTGAAGGTTGAATTAGCGCAGAATACGAGGCGAGACGGATCTAGAATTTAAGCTCAATGAATTCGTTCCGTAAGTTAATAACTTCCAATTCAATTATAGGTTCAGACCTATTATTTATTACAATTGTAGTGAATTCGTATGTGAAAATTTATTGAAAGTAGTAGCTTCAGATAAATCGCAGATGTAACAACTTTTCGTTCGTAGAGAGAACTTGCAGTAAATCAATATTTTCATTTTATATATTATTAGCTTGAATGAAAGTGAAAATTCATTATACCTACGCAAAAATTGACAAAATCTTAATAACTTAGATGGTTATTTAATTCAACTTTCACCTTTATTGGTAAAGTTCGATATTCACATAATAATTTCACAAAAACATTTTTAGGTTCAAATTCTATTTATTTCAATGAATTTTTTAAGACATATACAAGGTCTGAACAAACGTATTGGGCTATCGTAGCTCTTTCATTAAAGCTATTGGGTTTGGAGAAATAAGCAAATTATTATCTTTAAAGAAGTTAGTATTCGAATTTCGAAATCATCGCGCGAATATAATAATTTTTGCAATTTTAATTATTTCACCTTATATTCAGTATCGAAAATACTGAGTTTACTTGAACCATAAGCACATAAAAGCTCCATCTGCCTCTGCATGATAGAATGACTGGTTGCCATCAACTCCGTACAAATGGGAGCAGGTTGCACTCACAAATATTACAAAATGGAGATCCTAAACTTCATTGATACAACTCGATGAAGTTAACCCAGTATAACTAAAATTGATAGAACTAACCAAAAATAGACATGGCACAAACAAAGAATACCAATACTTTGGAATTTCTCTGAAATTTACGCCATTACATGTAGACGAGAACCCGCTGGTGTAAGGAGGAAACTGAGGTAGAACTACAATGATTGAAGTAAAAATGACAAAAACTCCAAAGATCAGTCCCACCTTACTCCAATGTACAATAAATTAAAGCATTCCTATCCGTAAATGACCATATAGCAAACACTGGAACAAACGAACGAACTAGTATTAATGTAATATGCTTACTTCTTCAGCTATCTAAATCGCAATTCCAAGTCAGTGATTGACATGAAACGATCCACGATTCGTGACCTGGACAGTGATCCTCCAGTTGTGCCTGCTGCCTATCCTAAACCTGAACTACATCTATTGCCTTCTCCACCACTACAACATAGCAAATAAAGAAATAATACCTCGGAACATCCCAAAAAAATAAATGAAGCAGTTGACTCCAATTGTTGAGTTGCCAACTTAAAGTTCAACGAAATGAGATCCGATATCAAAGCCTTCAGCAATTACAGGTAGATGCTAGTAGTATGCTGAAGCAGTGATGCCCAAAAAGAAGATTTAGACGTGCCAGCCAAAAGATCCAAAGGCTCTTGTATGTTTGAACCTGTTCAAATATTTTTATCAGAAATTGCTTGGTTTCATAATTGCAAGGCCAGGTCTGGCTGCTGAGAATCAACCAAAACGGTTGAAGATGGACGACCAGGAGACCCAGATGACTGGAAACTAATGTTTAAGTCAGGGGGGAGGGAATCCTGCTTCTGCCTTGGCTGTGCTGGTTGATTAAACCCCTGCCAAGCAGGTTGTACCTGGAACCTAGACAAGTCCGCAGGTATTGATTGGCGGAAAATCATTTGAGGATTCTGAAATTGAGCTTCACTGCCCACTCTCGCAGGATGAGGTACAAAAGCATGAAGTGGACTACTGTTCTCAGCCTGAAAGTGCATTGCTGATGCAGGATGTTCACCCCGAACTCGTGATGTTTGTTGCTGGACATTGCGAGAAGGGTTATACAATGAATCAGCAGAAATATGACTATTCTGCATGCTTGATGTTTCCATGCCTTGTCTGAAACCTCCTGCCCCAACTGACATCCATGCTCGGGCAGCGGCGGCGGCGGCATTTCCTGAATCATCCTTCCTCACAGATGGAGTCACAGGGGAAATTGGAGAAGCATCAGTTAGGGACTGACTCAAAGAGTTCTGTTGATTTTGAGCCTTTTCAGACAACATTCTCATCAACTGAACAGGGTCACTAAGGCCCTGCTCCTGTTCTTGGTGAAAGAAACCTGCAACTTTTCTCACGGTTGGAACGCTATCAGCAGTTAAATGCGCTGCTGGTGTAGTGTCTAGGTTGTTATTCACTGCTCTCCCATTGGCCATTCCTCCAACAGCACTTCCATTCTTGGCTGATTGCGTAAATGACCCAGATGAGAATGGGTTCCTCGGACTTACCCCAGTAGACCTCGATCCAGGTGTTTCAGAAGTAACAGTAACATTAATCTTTCTGGTAATTTCAGAATTCCTAGGACTGTCTAACAGTGGGCAATTTAACTCAACCTGCTTCTGCAGTTTTTTATCAGGTTCAGATTTGAAATGGATCTTTTTAGCAGGTTCATTGAAATTTCTGGATTGCAAATCAGGATGCTGGTATCTGGAGCTAGCACAAACAGCAGGTTTCTTTCCAGAAGAAAGAAACGATGACCTCCTTTCTAGATTGACCTCCCTAGGAGATTGCTCCTTCGTGGGAATCAAGACATTCAAACCACTCTCCATAGGCTTACCCTTAGTTGAACCAAGATATGATGATTTTCCTCCTAATAGAGGCCTAGAAAGAGGTTTATCTTTTGGAGCAATTGCGTCCTCGGATGTTTTCTCATTCTTTTGAGCTCCAAACTTATGTACGGACTTGGAGAAGAATGGAGGTTCCTTCAAGGTATAGTTCTCAAGCACCAAAACTGGGGTTGGAAGTGGCTCATATTCCCCAACCCACCCACGGCCAAACTTGAATCCAGGAGGTAATGCCTGTTCAATTTTCTGGGATGCAACTCGCCATGCTACAGGACCGAGAGTTGCAGCAAACCGGGCAAGGCTCCTAGCATATGCATGATCAGAATAAAGCCCAACCTAAATACACAGAGGAAAATTACAAAAGAGGAAAACAATAACCAAATGGAAATAAAACTAGTTATGTGGTACACACAGTGACCAGGTGCTTGCTTTCATCTTCAAACGTTGAAAATATGGAGTCCGTGTTGCCAACTGGTTGTGTGGATATGTTGTAACTTCCACGACGGTTCTCATCAGGCACAGTTAATTTCCTTCCAAATCTGGATAGAGGACCCTTCCCTGCAATAAGTTAAGCAGAGAAACTTAAAAAGCAAGTAACACATGCAACAAAGAACAAGGAAGAAAAAGCTGAAAGAGGAATATCAGCTAGTAAGTAGTAATACTTAATTAATTCAAGCTCAAATTGTCAAAAGCCAAAATAGGAATGCAAAATACATAGAACGGAAGCGACCCTGTTACTACGCAAATATAGCATCTTGGTTATTGTTGAAGATCCATAATAATATATGGTACCTGATAGTGATTCTTCTGCCTTGTCTACATTTTGATCTATCAGTGAAGAATTTCCTTCAGCAAGCCCATCAACACCATAAGGTTTCACCGACACTCCAGCAAGAGGAGTGTTGTTAAGATAGTGGCTATCTCCAGCTGCAGCAAGAGTGGCACCTGATGAGAAATCAGAGCCAACATTTTCCTGGAACATCGAGACCATCGGCTTCTTTATTTGCTTCCTGACAACAGAACCATATTTTGTCTTCTGTTCTAACTTGACGTCCTTTTCAGATCGGTCATACTTGATTCTTAGCTTCTCAAATTTCTTTGTAGCCAACTCTTGGATGGTACGTGCCTTGTCAAAATCGTTGCAAGATAAGCTTTATAGGCTCAAAAAGAAAGGGCGACTAAGATGAGATTGCAAGAAATACCTGTTTATGGTAGACAGTATCTGATGAATTGTACTGCATTGCGTTTGAACAAATGAGGAAGATATCGCTCTGAAATGGAAATAATTTAAGTGTGATTATTCAGGGACATCAAGCTAAGATCAGTACATACTGGATATTTTGTGCTAGTAACAATGTTATCAAAGGCGAAAAGCGCAAAGAAGTTCTAACGTCCGTGGGAGCTTTAAGCGCAAATAAAGTGTATGCTTTAATGAAAAAAGGCATAAAGGCGAAGAGCGTAAAATAGTTCTAACGTCCATGGGGGGCTTTGAGCAAAGCGTAAATAAAGCGTAGGTTTTAATGAAAAAAGGCGCAATACAAATATATATGTTTAGTACAAGACTAGTAAAAAAAATTATAATAATGTGAAATATCAATTGTTTAGTGTCACTTCTTCGTAAGAGGCTCATTGGCAAGGAAAAGTTTCCCTTGGAACCTTGATAACGACACTAAAGCGCACATAAAGCGAGGTGGAGCGCTCAACACGTTTTGAGCCTCTCTTCAAGGCTTAAGAGCGCTTAAAGCGTGTCTTTGATAACACTGGCTAGTAATATTGCTTAAGACACATCTTTTTAAAAATGGTGATGATTGCACTTGTAAAAAAATGGCAGTTGGACTTCAACAGCCTCATGAGTACATATAACACACAGATGACTAGTTTTATGACTTCTCATTTGATCAAAAAGAAGAGCGGACACCACAATTGAAGTCCCATGAACCCATGTCTCCTAAAGAGACACAAAATATTTCTCTAATGAGTTTTTGTACTAGAAAGAGACATTCTAAATTCATCGTAAGAAATCAATAAGGTTTCTGTGTTACCTATAAAACCAAACACCTTAAGATGGGCTAGTTACTACACCGTCAAAATACTGCTTTAAGCATCCGAATCGATCAATAAACAGAATGACCAAGTCTTAGCACGCCCATGAAATAAAAAAAAAGAAAAAGGATATAAAGCAGAAAAAGGCTTCAGATTGCATAGAGGACACTTTGATGATGTAAGCAATTCTTGATAACCTACCACTTAATTTACAAAAGAATGATTTTATTTATCAGGTCACCAGAGTTGAAGTAATCAAATATTAGAAATTTTCCTCAACTTGCTGAGAATATCAACTGTTTCTTAAATTTCATCTTTTATGGAAATAGAAAAAAGAGATATAACTGAATTAGGCATCAGATAACTCAAAAGAGGCACACTAGTTACATTTCCTGATTTTCTCCACCACGAAAATCAGAAAACCACAGACCTCCATAACGCAAAAACCATAAGAGAATTAGATGTTATATATCAGTAAAATCCAATATGCCTCCTCGATTTGTACAACAGAAGCCTAGAAGCTGTAGCTAAAACGAGTTTTCAGTATGCAAGTTATGCAACAATTGCAAGATAGACAGTCTAATTTAGCTTGTCTATTAATATTCTTCAATGTTGCTTGGTTTTCCTCTCCAGTTCTATTTTCCCAAATAAATAGTTTTCACAGTAGAGGTTCAAGGATGGACTTCTCCCACCACAGTTTTCAGATCCATCTTAAGTAAAGCAACTGCACTCCTCTTTCATTTCCTTGCATTCAGTAAATCACCAGCACCAAACAGTATGTGCTTTGTGATTAAACAAGGAGACACAGAAATGTTGTCACCAAGCTAAAAACAGTTCGAAATTCAATTAATCGATGGCATCAGAAAAGAACCAGATGAAGTGTGTGACGAGTCGTGATTTCTTAAAACAGAAGGAAACTTAATTTTGTGATTTAGATGCAAAGACCCAAGCATAACAATATATCCGAAAGACTAACTTACAATGTCCAGGACAGAATCAGGCTGTAGAAGAAAACAATTGTGAGAAAGAGGGACTACTGGGAAAATGTGATTCTACTAATCATGGCTGGTCAGAGGCCAAAAACATAGCAAGATAAGAAAAGAAGAAAGTAAAGCTTCAAAACTGGAATGGAAGCTAAGTCAGCTACTTTGGAGTGCCAATGTCTTTGTTCGCTGCTGCTGGAATTCCAAAACACACAACCTAATACAGAAAACTGATGCCTTTTCCCCTGCTCCACGCACAAAAACAAGCAGAATGAAGAGGATAAGTTGAAGAGATTCACCTCTAATTGCTCCAAAGTGGCATATGATCCAGTTCGCAATTTGTTTCTGACGGTGGTAAAGTCCATGGGATTATCAATCACCTCATGGTAATCAGGAAGCTGCCGAGAAATCAAGAAACAAATAAGCAGCTTTTCTTTATTTATACTGTTATTCTCCCCAAATAAGACTTCTGAAACTAAAACCATCCATCCAAAAACATACCTCTTCAGGATCAACAGGTTCCGCGTAAACACCATAGATGTCTTTCCTGTCATCAGGAATTAAAGAAACTAAACATTACAAGGGCCTTCAGCTAAACAACCCAAGAAAATCCATTTTTCTCTAACAATACACACTTACTTCTGTAACTTGTCGAGAATCAATTCCATCGTCTTCTTATCTGGCAACGGCATTCCAGAATGTGGTTCAGATGGTGTCCCTGCTCAACCACAGCGTACCATCAATAATGTGGACAAGGAACAAACATGAAATGTCTCCATTTCTGAAAAATCAGAAACTATACCTGGAGCAGAGTCCACATCTTTTGCTTCTTCATTCCTTCCTCTAGCCTGCCAAAATCCAAAAGTACGCTTAACCCTCCATAAACAACAGAATTTAGCAAGAAGCAACATGAATCATCTATATTTGTTCTGATAAATTATTTTGTTCTTAAAACTAAACAACCCCTCAAAATATCAGACTGCAAAAACCTCGAAGCAAAGTAAAAACACACAAAGGAATAAAAATGGCGTCTGCTGGACAGAGACAGAAACAAGGTAGACAATGAGAGAGAGACTGGCTGTTTATTGTGTGTAGTAGAGAGAGAAAAAGAGGAGAGAGAAAGGTGGGAGCGTGAGCAGATTCTGTGGGGGTTAGTTTGTGACAGTTGACCCGACAGTTATATATATATATATATATATATACACATCAATTCCCGACAGAGATTTATACATATTGAGTGCCTATATGGAAAGAGAGAGAAAGAAGTAGTGAGTGATTTACAAGTCTCTGGTCCAATTAGAAAAATCTCACTGAACTCAGCTTAGTTGGACTTTCTTCCCCGTTTGCCTTCTCAATTTCCAATTTCGCACACATCCATTAGTACATTTTTTAACTGAGATTTCACACATACCTCATCATCATTATCATTTTCAATTTCATCGTCATTATCTTCTTCGTCTTCATCTCTATCATCGTCGCCGTTAATTTTTCTCTTTTTAGAGGGCTTTCTCCCATCCCCATCGTCGGAAGACGAAGCCGACGTGGCAGGCCCTACTGACACTCGTCGAGTCCGACTCGGAGTTGACTCAGCACCGATTTCATCGCTCTGTAGCTTAAGCAAGTGTTTTAGCTTCTTCTCTCTGCCTCTCTCATCCTCATCGTCTTCGACAAAGTACTCATCGTCGTCAAGGTAATCATCGATATCGAAAGCGTACCTAACATTCCGACGCCGTCCACTCCGACGAAGCTCCCTCTCCTGCTTCGCCGACGCCGATTCCGACTGCTCAGCGGCAGCGTTCCGGCGAGCTAGATCTGCCTTAGATGGACGTCCTTTCTTCTTCGTCTTCACGATCTGCCCCATCTCCTTTATCTTTCTCTCTCTACAATTTTCCTCAATCCCACTCACTTTCTCTCTCTTCTTTTACTCCATTACATTATTTTTCTCTGAGGCAGTGCTTTGGCTTTTTTTGAGTCAATTCTGTGGTCCGAACCTGAGCCCAAACCTGAGGTCTGGTGGGGTCACTTTACAGAGGCTTTTTAAAACTTTTAAAATTAACGTTGAATTGTCCTTTTTTGCCGTCTGTGTATGAAACACCGTTAGTGGCTGGCAATAACGGCGTTAGGTGCCGCCCAATGAGTCCAAATGTGTTGCCCGTATTAGTTACGTCAAACCATGCACACTTTCTATGTAAGAGCGTGACTTCACCTTCCGCCGCCACGGTAAGCTAGCATTTTGTCGTAGATTTCTAAATGTGCAATTCATGAGTATTACGTTCGTTAAATTTTACGTATGTATAAGTATATATTTAAATTTGTATAAAATTGAACAAATAAAATTACACTTCCTACATGGCACCCTAACATGACAAGTTAAATCCTTTGTGATACCCTCAAATTATATACTATTAAGATCAAATTAAAGAGCACATCTATTATTATGTTATTTTAGAAGTTTATCATTTAATATATATTTGATCATATATAAATTGAATTAAATGCTAAAAATTTAAAATTGCTTGTATATATCATCGATTATGTTATGAATCTTCTTTAACTATAAATATCTCTCGATCAAGTGTAGTAGTTTCCTGGCATTATCCTTTTGAATGAACCTTAGTTAAATGATTGATTTATTCACATAGATTGCATCAGAGATTATCTCTAACCTTTACTTTTAAATCTCATTCATCATGTCTAATTCTTTGGAATGAGATTGTTCAATTAATACCTACTCTAATAATCTCTCGAAGAAAATTACATATATAACAGCATCATCGACTAATTAATTAATGTAATCATTGTATAATTAAACAAATAGAGATAAACACAAAACTAAATCATATTAAAAATGTAACAATAATTCATTCTATAAAGAGTTCCATCAAGATTCTAAATAAAAAGTTAACCATAAAAGTATGTGAAAATACAACAAAAAAATTCATTATCAATAATAAAAAATACCAAGAAGAAAGGAATTAAGGAAACATATGTATTGACTATATCAAGCAGTAAATGTAAATTAGAAATTATATTTAAAGTTTTATAACATAAGATAAAAGAATAGTAAAATATATTATCTTTTGACCAAACATTAGTCATGTTGATTATGTAATTGAAAATATTATGTTGATATAGTTTAATTTGCCTTTAATTTAGCTAATAGGATTGTTAAGTTAATTACGCCAAGCGAAAAATGCTATACAAAGATAAACAAAGTATATTACTTTTTTTCACCTAAATATTTGATTTATATATTTAAGTTTTAGCTAAATTTAAATTAATATGTAAAAAATTAAAGAGGTGTTTACTATAATAGAAGTGTTTAATATTGAAACAATATTTACTAATTTCTATAACTTTTCTTAGTTTTATTTATAGTTTGATACGATTCTTAATAATTTCATAATAAAATGTATAATTATTTTACTCGTATGTCAATAGTGTCGTTTTGTTTACTTTGAGCGATTCTATTTAAAATGAACATATGTTTATTTATATTTAATTTTTTTTGTCAGCGTCCATTGTTATTTGTGTGCTTTTTTTATATGTAATTTTATCTTTTTGTGTGTCTGTGTGTTCAATGCACTTCGTTAATGTCGTTTATTAGGAATTAAATTTATCTTGTTTACACCTAGGATTAATTAATAGTAAGAGATTAGAATTAAATTTGTATGATTATTTTGTGAATAAGGAAAAGTTGTGATTATACCTCAAAGACACAATAATAATAATATATTTAATATAATTTTATAAATAACTTAGAATATAAAAAGAAAATTGTGTATATTTATCTTTGCTTAAGAGACACGAAAATATTGAACACTTTAAAATATTATAAGAAACACTAAATTGACGTTTTATCGTAAATTTTCAAATATTTTGACAAATATTATTTGGGCTAAAATTTGGATATTTGGGAAACAAATTTCACTTTTTAGGAAATATGATTTATATCCATAAGTTTTAAAAACTATCATTTAACCATAGGGTTGTATTACAAGTCAATTGGATCTTACTTGCAACAAATAACAAATAACAAGTAGTGTCCATGACCCTAGAGCAGTATGGTAGTTCGAAGCGAGTGCAACAAACATCATTCCATACATCATGTCGTATACAAAGCACATAACTTTATTACCATGAGTCGATTGTTCATCAATAACCATATCATCACTATTTTAGTGTTTACGAAAAGAATTATGTAATACAACTACTATAAAAGATATTTTTATGAAAGATAAAAGTTGGATATACATTTAAAATTTTAAAAGATTTAAAATAATGAAATTTGATTCAAATACTAAAATTTTCTAATATTTAAAAATTTGAATTATTTGCCATTATATATCAAGTAATAACAAATTATATTAACAAACCAAATTTTCCTCTGAGCCATCATAAGTACATGTTAAAGTGTCTTAATTAACAAGTATTACATTAAATTGGTCCATTTTATGTCACGTGACACTAGTAGAGTATTTATGTTTGAAGTTAATTAGTGATAAGTCAAAATTAATTAGTGATAGGTCAGTGTTGAATCACATTAATTATTCTATTTGTCTATTTTTATTGGTTATGTTAGCAATATTCTAAAGTTAATACTAATTTGATTTTTTTTTTAAAAAATAGATATTTAAAAATATATGAAAAATATTATAAATTACAATTTTTTACATATTAAAAAATAATATGATAAAAATATATATCGTAGAATATTAGTCAAAATTCTGATAATTTAATTCTAAAAATAAATACAATGATAATTAATTGTGGATTGAGAAAGTAGATATAAGTTCTATAATTAGTTGTAGTTTTGAGCTTAGTAGACTAACTAAATGGCTAAAAGTAGACCATTCTTCGTGGATGTGTTTTATTTTATTTTCAAATATAATTTTTATAAAAAAAAATCAACTAGAAACTCGAATTATAATCAAGTTTAATTTTCTAAACACTCAAATTATTATTATTATATAGTCAAGTTATATATTTTCAATTGTTTTATTTTAAACCTTATCAGTTAGAACATCACCAATTTTTTTCAGTTAAAGTAAATTCCATCATTATTATTAAATGTAAGTGATCTCTAATTATTTTAGATTAACTTTAATAAATTAGGTGGGGATCACATGAATCAATAAATTAGTATATTTATTTAATTTTTAAAAAATATTTTTTTATATACCGTTTTGTAATTTTACAATAACATCTTATACTCTAAAAAATACAATTGATTTGTAGGTAGCATTGCATATGTGTGTTGATGTTTCGTTAATTTTGGCTCATTTTTATTGGTGAGATTTAGCTAAAAAAGAATTTTAGTATACGTATATTAATGCAAATTAATTAATGTAACGTACACAAAATATGGTCCTTTTTCGAACCCCACCATATAATAGAAATTAATGCATCAAATTATATATATATACTTTTTCATATTAAAAAATATGACTTTTTTTAACTACACCTATAACTGAAGTTAGTGCATTCAGCTATTTTTTGGTTTTGTTTTTTTTACACAAAATACGTACGTGATCTTGCAATACGCAATTCAAATTTAATCGAAGTTCTGACATGAATTTCGAACACGAGTGAAAAACTAAAAAATATATATATATATATATATGGTATTTAAAATTTTATACAACTTTTTCGATAAATAAGTTACACAAATTAGGACAAAATGATTATATATTTTTTGGTGATATTATTTATATTCATATAAAAGAGTACGGATCTAGCTGTATTAGTACTGTTTCCATTTTATTTTTATATTGTATGACAATGTTTTGACTTATGAAATTTAAATATTTAAGTTTAACATGACGTACATGTCTATATTTTTTTTTATATGTATCATAGTGCGAAAAGAATATATTATATAGAGAATATAACCACGTCAAAGTTAAATTTTTGAACGATATTCAATGCATTTGAATTCTTAGAAGTTGTATAGAATAATCTTTTAAATATCCCCATTTTTAAAAATAATAATATAATTAAAGCAGAATTAAATAACTTACCACAGTAATAATATCCTACAACTTTCCTTGTTTTGTCATTCACTCTATTCATCGACGATTAATTTTTATACTTTTCAATTTTAGAGTTAAATTCTATGACTAATTTTTAAGATGTAATTTTTTTTATATTGATATACAAAAAATTGAAATATATAGTGCTTTGTATATAATTTTTAATTATCTAAATTTTTTATTTAAAATATTAAATTAATATAATTTAATTTAATGTTAAAAATTATTTAGAATGACTTTCGAAAAATACAATATAATATTTTGATGGGCGGATAAATGGGTTGGGCTTCATGAACACATAGCTATGTTGGCCCAAATTGTGATCTTTTCCTTCTTTTTTTTTCTTCTTCGTATTATCAAATTGATTACTACAGTCTACAGTGTTTAGCTCTCTACTGTGTGTATCAATGGAGAAATTGAGGAAAATGGTGAACCAAATAGCGTATACACCACCGGAAGATAGGCTCCGTACACTTTCCACACTGCAATTCTCTCTCATCCCTCTTCTTTCACTAGCTTCCACTCTTTATGGCTTTGTTCTTCCTCTCCGCCATCGCCTTTACTGTCTTGGCCTGCTTCACAAAGACAGGTAAACAATATCTCTAATTATAAGTTGTATTTGGGTTTATTATGATTTTTTTGTAAGTGGGTATTTGTTTTTTATTGCTTTGATAGCTGTATTTGGGGGTTTTATTATGATTTTGTTGATTTGTTCTATGTGGGATTTTGTTTGCTTACCATACCTATGTAATCTATTTGAACTGTAAGGTTGCCGGTGCCAGTGATTAGCGTTGGAAATTTAACTTGGGGAGGTAATGGGAAGACACCAATGGTTGAGTTTCTTGCAGTTTGGTTGGCTGCTGCTGGAAGTTCACCTCTTATACTAACAAGGGTACTCTGATTTTTTTTTCCAGCGATTGCA